TCACTGTACGGACTCGCCGATTCCGTACAGTGAATCGGTGAGTCACTGTATAGAATCGTCCGGTTCTCTCTAAAACCGGATGATTTCCGTTTTTTTCGCCGATTCGATCCGTCCATGGCGATTCTCGAGTCGAACCGGGCGAGTCCGGTTCGACTCGACGTTTTTTTAAACACTACTTTTACTATTTACATCCAAAATTACCCCATGAAAAAATATTTTAAATATTTTACAACTTTTTCTTTTGGGTGAGTCTGTGGGGAGATTGCTTCTACCTTTGGTGGAATTGAGCCTAGGATGTGGCGTTGCAAATTGTCAGGCACGAACCACTTAAGCCAGGGCTGCAAACCACTTAAGCTTGGGCTTTTTTAGGAATCTTTTAATCATCTATGCTTCTCGTGGTGCCCCTTCGTGATGCCATATCTTCACAATAAACTCTGAATCGACCTTTCTCTGGTGAATGCTGAGACGTTGTTTTTCTGTCTGGATATCTGTTAATCATTCCCTTGATATGTTATTTTCCTGTCTGGATATCTGTTAATTATTCATTTATATCACTGAGAAAAATAACCTATAATGATGGCGAATAGAAATACAAAGTCCAAATAAAACATACAACAACCTAATACCAAAACGAAAGGTAGTTTCATTATTGCTCATCATCGTGTTTTTCCATCTCTTTTTGACCCATTAATGTCACTTGAGTCAAATGACATCCGTGTTTTGGGCATCAAACCCATAGTCTATTTTTCATTTAAAAGTTATGTTCTCATTACAATAAGTAACTTATGTTGAATCTCATCTCAAGTTCTATATGACTCTTTCACCACTAGTGCTTGCTCCGATGGGTAAAAGAGAGATAATGTACTCTTAAGTTGGGTGTGCATACATCTATATAATTTCAAATTTGCACTCCAAGTTAGTTATAAAAAAATAAGTATTTTCCCGTAAATCTGACTACAACAGTGTTTTAAAAAATGTCGAGTCGAACCGGACTCGCCCGGTTCGACTCGAAAATAGTGAAAAGGGGACCGGATCGCCTAAAAAATCGAAAATCGTCCGGTTCTAGAGAGAACCAGATGATTCTGTACAGTGAATCGCCAATTCACTGTACGGAATCGGCGAGTCCG